GTGGATTTATGTTATTATTAGTATGATTTCTGTCTCTTATACACATCTAGATGTGTATAAGAGACAGGTACTGTACATGCAAAAATACTAAATTTACGACTGTTTTCAGTTTGTTTTTTGTTTTTTATGGTTCGAAGTTTGAATAGGTCACAAGCTAATCAGTAGATATAATAAATCATTATTTTTATGAATGTTTTGACGAAATATATAAGCGGGCATAATTATAAATAAAAAGATAATTTAAAAAAATTATGATGAGTATTGCAGTGGCAGATTCAAAGGGCCCCGCCAGCCCACCATCCCTAATTCTTTTTTCGAAATTTAAAAGTGGAGAAAAAGTAAAATTATATTAAAATTACGTCTGAGAGTGCCATTTCCGACCAAGAGGTGTCATAATCATAAATTTTCTTACCTCAGCCCAAACCATGGTGGAGCTGAGGTCTACTCTCCATCTGTAAAACTCGCTCTCTGGGTTCAGCTCTGTTTCAAATTACTGGATTCGCCACTGGATATTTTGAATTTTTTTATGGAAATAAATTTTAATTGCATTACTTAAAATCAAGGCTATAGGCGCGAGAGCTTCCTGGTGCTTAGTCCAGGGGTGGCGTCAGCGGGGGCCCTGGAGAAGGGCCCCCGTCGGTGATAGCTCCCACCCCCCCGTCGGGGAGAAAAAGCATAATTCATTGGGGGGCAAAATTTATATGTATTTTTACATATGAGGCATGTTGTGGCGAAATGATAAAGTTGTCGCACAGTCCAGTATTGAGTAAATGAGCTATAAAATATGGGAGCTCAAAAAATTGCTAAGAAATCCAAATTTGTTTTTCACTATAGGTCAACAGTTTAATGTCTTATTAATCATGTCTCAAAGTATTAGTTCTGGAAGTGGTTAACAAATTGTTTATTTAACGTTATTTTTCATAGTTCATTCTATTAAACAATATATGCACAAATAACTTTGAAAGGCAATTACTCAAAATCCTGTTTATCTTGACTCTAAGAGTACTGTACTTTCACTTTCCGAAAACTTAGGTTTGAAATGTCCAATTTGAACGAATGACCCCTCATTTTAAAGATCACATATTCAGGTATTTGAAAATACCAATAACTTGAATTCCAATTTTTGCTACAACTTAGCCATTTTGCCACAACATGCCTCATATTAGTATAGACTCTAAAATCGATTAAATAAGCCTCTGAAACTCGAAAATTTTCGGGAAGATCAACCACGCCCACTTTGCTTTCGTCGGGGGAAATCTGACACCTCGTCGGGCAAATCCTGGCAGTGGCTTTGTCCCCTGGTCCCAAACCAAGGCTTGGACCTACGGCCCAAGGGTATATTTTTCATTTTGTCCCCACCCCCCCACTTTTAACCACGGATCGACGCCCTTGCTCACCTAACGTCGTAGGGCGGGAGTAATGTGATAATAATGTCTCTATAAATCTGTCTAAAGTTCTTAACAAATGTTTAAACCATAACCCACATTTTAATAATTCTAAAACCGCCATCCAAACCATTGTGTATAACTGAATTTATGTTAGTATTAGTATGATTTAGAGTGTTATAAAAGTTGATTATTATAACTATAGAAGGCAGATGTCACATCATGGTACTATCTAGTCAATGTGTTCTCAAGATGCTTTTCATTAGACAGACATAATAAACGCACACACACACATATGTAATGGCTTCCTAATCGAGTGTATGGTTCATTGTCTCTATTCTCATCATCCGAATGCTACACATCTCAAAAATTTCTTAGCACATGCTCAGAATTATTATAGGCCTACAGTG